GTTACATCCTAATCACAATGAACAGGAATTCTTGTGATCATCTTGTGCTATCCACGCGGATTCCTGAGCGGTTACAGGACCGCTTTCAGCTTTTGAGTTCAAGTGCTGCATATTTTTCCAGTCTCCAAGATCCTGACCCAGTCAACCTCTCACTCAAATACATTTATATGAATATATACAGGTCAGCGAATATGATGAGGTGTTTGTATCCTTAAGCCCCTAGAAATGTAGGGGTTCATGGGGAGTGCTTTCCGTCCATCTCGCAAGGATGGCCACTTCCGCTAGCCACATTCGATTTGATGATCAGCGAGATTTTGAGGCGAACGCCAGGAGATAAGCAAAAGCCACGTGCTCAGATAGTCAGACACTAAAACCTTGTTTACCTAGGACATATCCTTATCTTCAACTGGGAAAAAATTACTGGTGCCTGCCCGAACACGCCGTCGCTGAACAGTCAACTTACACTCCAAGCAGAGAAACAGTGGTAGTGAGCTGTCTGCGTGCATTGTAAGTTGTGATAATCGTTCATCTGTAACACGGTGCCTAGCTGCCATGTCACCCAAAGGAAGCACGAGGGCTGGGATACTGTCAGGTTGCTCGAACCCAGACAGGGGAAGTCGAGAGGCAGAGGTCGATTTCGAACCACAGAACTTCCAGTCAGTAAAGTTGCGCCCTAACCAATTAACCATCTCGCCCCTAAGTTGTAATAGATCATAAGGTTGACGGAAACTCGGGTACTGTGCCTACCTGATGAGCCCCAAGAAGGGCGAAACCGTTCGTGGGGTGTAGAAGAGTTTTCAGCAACCTTGTGAGTAGTTTTCTTTATGAAAAAAACCGAAATCTACTTTGTAAGATGAGACCAGTACATAAATATCTACGGCTCGGATAGCGTTAGATACCACTTTGGCTNCGCATGCCCACGGAATGACGACTTTTCTCGTCGGATAAGTTCGAATGACACTATGAAGATAAAAGCTCCATCAGAGCATAAGTCATTAACACTCCGCGGGTAAAAGTTCTAAATGGCCTTCAATTTTAGGTGAGTTCTGGCTGATTTGACACACGTCAGGTAAGGCGATGTGGAGCACTGCTGTGGTGTGACAGTTTCATAGTTTTGCATTCTTAAAGCAACATGTTATTGCGTCGATTCTGTTGTTCAGCGGACTGATCATAACAGGTAGCCTCCACCTACAAGCCAAACGCAGGGAAACCATTTGCTACTAGTCTGGCTATCAGTAGCTAAAAACAAATGTTGAAAGAAACCTGCGGACTGAAATAATCTAGAATGACTTTCGTACCATGATCGATAGTTCCTATTTTTTCCACTGACTTTAACTCTACTTGATGAAACAATCATTCCAAAATGTGTTGCGGTTTTTATCTCATCCCTTTTGATCCCACGCCAAACTGTCCTCAATCGCTTCCATTGGTTCCACGGAAAATTGTAAAGTGAGTCGCCTACATCGATTTCTTACACCTACTAAGATTTAGTAAGTTATATGATGAGACGAAAAGTGTAATGCAGTCAAACAAAAATGACTGACAAATGTTTTCCAAAAATCTGCAACTGTTTGTTTTTT